CTCTACAAAATGGGTTCTAACCCTCTACAAAATTATGGTGGGTGGGTGCACATGCTCGAGTCAACGGAAAGATATGTAAGAACATGACGTTTCTATAAAATCAATCCCCCCAAGTAAATTATGTTTTTGCTAAAAATCTCAAAAACTGCCCTGATCACTCGACAGTTTTGACCACCCAGGTGGTTCATTTTGTAGAAACCCAATTTTTTCTCTACAAAATGGTCATTTTGGGTACCTGGGTGTCTTGAATCTGTAGAGGGAATTTTGCAGGGGATGTAGTAGTAGTAGTAGTAGTAGTAGTAGTCGTAGTAGTCGTAGTAGTCGTAGTAGTCGTCGTCGTCGTCATCGTCATAGTCGCAGTTGCTGCAGTATGTAGAAGTGGTTTTGCGATATGACATTCATGGTATGGCCATGTATGGCCCAAACATCTTCAGATCAACAAGCAGTTGGGAAAAGAACAACTTCTAAACAACTCATGCATGGAGTAACGGCATTCACTCAAATGTTTGGGATTGGCAAACTCTCGACATCAAGTGGGTGCTTTGTATTTCTCTAACGACCTGTCTTTGGTTCAACAAAAGCCCAGCGATAGTTCAAGCGGCTCATAGCGGATGGCCAACAACCAAGGCCCCTCCACATCCTGCCACAGCGATGGTTGAAGGAACCGGGCAAAGAATTGCAACAGCTGAAGAAGCAAAAGCCAATAGCGAAGGGTTAGCGGTTAGAAAGAGAAGGTTCTGGCCAACCCAAAAGAGGTTCATGGCAATTGGCACGAAAGAAGAACAATTGAAGACTCACATGACTAATTTTCTTGCTCTTGACAACCCAAGGAGCTCAGAATACTGGAGCCTGTAGTCAATCCCGATGAACATTTGAAGAATCTTGAGATCAAGCTAGGAAGATCTAGCTTTTTGGCCAACCTGTAGTTAAATAATTACCCAAAGACTATCCAAGGTTGAACTCCTGAACTGGCATACGACATTTGCTTCTTCCCGTCCTGGGGCGGGAAGGACATGCGTACACGTGTTCCTTAGACGGGCCAGCAAAGCTGGATGACAACTCTACGAGAAGGTTTGACGGTGATATGGAAGGGTTGGGAGAGTTTAAGATTCAGTAGTTTAAGTTCTTTCAAGAATCTGGATAAGGCTATGCAGATTTGTTAAAAAGAGATCGACTGCATATGCAAGCTGAATGGTAGGTGTCCAGGTCTGGGAAAAGTACAACTATAACAGTGTCTGTAATACCCTCCCTCCAACTGCCCATGCAAGTGGACAACCCCTTTTTGGAATTATAAAATAATGATATACTCGGAAAAAGGGTCTTTCCAGGCGGACCGTGCTCCACTTTTACGAAGGGAGCGTATATCATGCATTGGGTATATCCGCCAGGGCCCAGCGGATGATGATTGTAAGTAAAGCTCTTTTCCCAACACAGTGATCATCTTTTACCAACTGTTAGTGGTCATGGAATACACCCAGCCAGCCGCAGCATACGTACATGCTTCATCATTCGGCCAGCTGCAGCTGATCCCACTAAGCCCCCAGCCGGCCGTGTGGTATGTCCCATTCGCTAGGCTGATGACCGGTGCCTACACACGACGGCCCGGATGGGCCGTGTGGAGGCCGTGTGGAGGTTTATGGAGAACAAACAGGGCGCATGTGTGTTGTCTTTGGCGCTGCTACAGGAGGATGAACTCCATATCTTTCAATAAACAGTTCCACTCAAAACCCAGGTTGGATGAAATCCTCATACTTCCCCGTGGTTTTAGCTTGTAAAGCAGCCACCCTCTCCAATCGCTGGCACAAACAGCTGATCGTCCTGTCCAAGCACTGTACACTTCTGAACGCACTGTACTCACCACTTCTGAAGCCTGCAACGGTCCACCGGCAGGTACGCACTTGCCCAAGAGGTTTGCGCCATAGCCAGAGGCACATCGGCAACTCATCGTATCCTCGGGTCACACGTGGCGACAGCGGCGCAGTCGAAGCCTGCGGTCGGCTCGGGTTTGGAAGTGTTTAAAGATCAGCCTGACTAACTCAAAGCAAGACAATCCTGATTTGGGGACATTGAACGGTAGGCCTGCTGCGTTGAGTCAGTGACATGATACAAAATTGTGTTTTACCAGGTATATGAACTGAAGAAGGTACTCCACAAAAACTTATTCCGCTCGAGAATTTCTAGCATGTCATGAGGTTCACTTTGAGTCATCCAAACAAAGCAAGACTCATTTGGAAAGACATGGAAAGACTCTGTTCAGTACAAACGTGACGTTCCACTTTCAACTTTCATGTGTTTAAGTGAGCGTTCTTGCCTCAGCGCCTCATAGATCTACAAGACTATCCAAATAGATCCAAATATGATATGTCTACAGTAGGACGTAACACTGGTGTGTCTGTGTGTGTGTCACTGCCTTGTGAGCAAAACTACCTCGACCTGCATGGGGGACGGTCAAAGGTACTTTCGAGGACCATTGCATGGTTCAATCTTCCCCCAAGAAAAAATCAGGCTCGTAAAGCCATATGTATATTCATTCCTGTCACATCCAAGAACAGGATATAACCTTTGCCTCCAAAGATTTTCCCGTTATCTTCGCTGGTCTGTCTGTCATGTTTTTTTGCCCAAGGACTCAGGAGTGCTCTTCCACCGTCCTCCAATCTCCATCACCTACTGCCCAGATACCGCCCACCGTCACAGTTTGCACTAATCACTCGCTGTGCCATGAGTGACCTGGCTGTCTCTTTCTTGCTGTGCCTCCTGGACCTGGCGTGATGCGGCACCCCGCTCCACCCGTCTCATCGTCTCAGCCTGCTCCCACGCGGTCCGTTCGCTCGCCGTCCGAGCGTCACTCCGTGGCAACACGGAGCGTGGGGCCTCCCCCGGGCATCGTGCGCAGGAGAGCGTGGGGTCGTCGTAGTCGAGAGCTAAGCGGTGATGCAACAAGGCGGGGCGGTCAGCCTGGAGTAGCAAGACAAGTCGTAGACTGCTCAGAAGATCGAATCGATGGGGAGGTTAGAGCATTTCAGGAGTTTGTCTTGGCAGTTGTTGATGCTTGTAAATTTAGTTGTAGTTCTATTCAAACATTATAATGCGGGTTTGGTTAGGGAGTTAAACATGTTCCGCTCATCCAATACTCTTGCAAAGCAATCCTTTTTCCAAGCATACCGTGTCGAGAAGTTTTGTTTGGGGATGTACCCTTAGTTTATATACCTGGAAGAATTCACGTTGGCCATGAATGGCAGATACAGAGTCTGAGTGGATAGGACTCAGACCACAAATGTTGCACATCTTGGGCTAAGACTTCCTGGCGTTGGGGGGAGGCGAATCAACCAGGTTGAAAGGCTAGGCCACTAGGCGAATGGATGCGGATACAATCAAAGTTTGCAGACGAGGCTTCCAAACTTAAGAGTGCAAGGGTTGGTTTGATAAGACATACATTCGCATGCACATTCAACAAATCGACTGTTCCCTGGCAGTTGTGTGTGCTTTTCAGGAAAGCATCCAGCTTCTCCCCATCTTGCTTGCTGTTTGCCTGGCTAAGGGAACATCAAATCAGCCGAACTGGCATTCCACGCCTGAAGCAGGACGCTTCTCAACCTCAGTCAGTTGATCCAATGGTCAAACCTGGTGAAACATCTCATCCACCAGTGTTGACTCACCTTCTTTTTGACCTATTCCAAGGATCCTGCTTCCGTTCTACAACAGGTGATCAACAATCCGGACTTCATCAGGGTGACTCAACTGAATCAAGAAGAGTCATGAACACTTTTCCAACGTTATCAGTGTTCATCCCGGCCATGATCCATTGGGATGTGTAGCTAAATAAGACCACCTCCCAGGCGACGACCCCCCTGGAAGAAAGGAAAGGGCCAACCAGTCTACCCATTGGCCAGGAGGTTTTGAGGTTGGTGAAGTCTTCCCGGCCGTGAAAACAAGGCTTTGGGCGCCGAGCAGCGGAGTCTCCCGTCTCCCGTCTTTTGAGGGGGGGGAACTCATCGGAGCAAGGAATTAAATCTTGACCTTGATCCTTCATGCCATATGGCACATCGCTTGACGTTGCTTGCACATTTCCTCACCCTACCCACCAATCCGTCCAGATACTCCGGCACCGCCAGGCGCAAGCTCTCAGGAGCCGGAGTCTCCACCTGCGACGGAGATAGTCTGGAGCCAAACAGCTCTAGTAACGTGCCCAATGGAGACCTGTAAGTAGGGTCGGGTACTCTATTGGACACCCATTGGATGATCCTGGTACCTATTCACAATGCCGCAGGCCGCAAGAACACCGTACGTATCAAGTGGCAAGCTCCTTAGAAGGAGGGCTCCAGAATCGGCAGCGTAGAGGTACTCTTGAGGTCTGTTGTCGGATCCCAATTTGATACACCATGATACACCTATTCGCCATTCGCCCCTATTCTTGATACGGAGACATGATTGAAATACACATGGAAAAAAAGTGGAAGGGACATATAATATGGACAAAATATCAGGGTCTTGTGGTGATGGTTTCACAGCTCTCGTGACCTTTCCTTTACGAACAAAACATGTCGCCTCTTTGGATCTCTCCCTTCGTCCCTCGCCTCCAAAGAGACACTGGTCGCTGAGGCGCCGCCCCAAACCTCGACCACTGCAACCTGCGCGTTCTCGCATGCGCTCGAACGAAGCTTTCGAATCAACATGGAAAGCGTGAACAAGCTGGAACTAGTGGGAAACCACTTAGACTATCTAAGTGGTTTGTGGGAACTTGTGATCGAACTAGCTGGTGGGAACTTGTTTGTTGGGTTCAGAGCACTGTTTCGCGAATTCAATCATGTCTGAGCTACTCCTTGCATTGAGTCTCAGTCTCAGAAATATATTCTTCTATAGTGCACTTTAGCGCATAACGCTACATACTATGTAAATCGGCATGTAAATCGGCACTCCTCCGTTCTTGAGAACCTTCAAACAATGGTATCAAAACCCTTGTGCTGTCTGTGTTTGATATGGGAGAATATGGGAAGAACTATACTTATTATGTAAAACATTGTAAAACCACCCCTGTGGAATTACCGGTGTAGCTGGTCATATTGAGCTCAAGCTCCCAGATTCTATAGACTCAGATTCTATAGAGGATATTCGGCAGGGGATTGTAAAACCACCATGAGGAATTGTGACTTCATCCTACCCACTTAGGTGTCTTAGTCTCAGCTCATCTCCTCAACTCCTCGTGTCTCACTGAAAAAAGCCACGGGCCAACCGGCCAACCGTGGGTGGAAAAACCAATTCATGGCACCCGAAAGGATGGAACCCCATGGCAGCCGAGTGCCAAACAGGTGGGGCAAACTCCACCATTCATGATTATGTCCAAGGAGGTTCATACGCAGTCATATAACTAGTTGTCTTGTTTTTCTTGCAAACCTATCAGAGGTCGGCGCCCGATCAGGTCGGTGCTTTTTGTCACACCTTTCCGAGTGTCTGACCCCGACTTTGGCCGCTGGGCCCTCGCGGAAGCGGCGCGCCGCCTGCGCCGCTTCCGCCAAGGCGATCCTCCGGGGCAGCGTGACGTAGCCCAGCTGCCCCAGGATGTGATGATCTGCGTCGTAGACCGTGGCGTTCCTCGGGGGAGCTATATACCCCACAAATGACAAACAGGCCAAAGAAAGCTTAGTTCGAAGTACCAAAGGGTCACGGTGGGTAAAGCACAATAGAGAAATGAAAGACCAATATGACCTTTGACGTTCATTCCAGGATTGATTCAGGATTTCGGTTCGGCACTGACTTCAGGTTCCTCAATATGTCTCGGCCCTTCAACCCTCGGCCCTCACATCGCGGATGTGGTCGTGCACCGTGCACCCGGAGGAACCAACGAAAGAAAAGCCCATCGAGGCGCTTCACGTCGCCCGAGCCAGTGAGATGCACCGCACTTATCAGCCAGGTCCTGAAGCGTCTGCTTCGCACGGAAAAACACACAGAATATAAAAATAATACATTATTATACATTATTATGTCTTAAATTGCAAAAGCATACAAAGCAGTTTACCTTTAGAGTATCCGTCTAAGAGTGTTGGCTGTTGGTTGGATATTTTGGCGAACATGTTATATACGTCCAATCACGATGTTCTTCTTCATCTTTGGGTGTGCGCTGAGAAGCTTCATTCCTCCACATCCCACTGGGCCGTACTCCAGCCGCCAGGATGACCACTTGGAAAAAGTAGTGGATTCATTGAGGACACTTAGCTAACATCACATCCTTTCTGGAGGCTTAGACAGTCCTACAAAAAGCTATGAATTTGCTGCTCAACAGCTAACTTGAATTTGCTCCTCCGTAATCTGACACTAACAAACGTGTTCATATTCCATCCCAATCCCAACCTTTCAATAAGTGGATGTTGAAACAAACACATGCACCCATCAGCCATCCATTAGAGATCCCACGCCACCGGCGCTGTCAGGTGACTGGAAGTAGCTGGGAGCACAGTCGCAGGAACAATCTTCTTGTCGCAGCAAGTTGCCTGTGACCCAACAAACGGACCAACGGTGAAGGGTGCATCGCGGGGCTCTGAGGGCTCCAGCAGCGCTGGAATGATACTTTTAGTATCAATGTCTCTCTATGACCATGTATACAAGCGCTGCAGTGAAAGTGCTATCCAAGTACCGGTTCGTAATCTCTATGAGATCTGAAAATTGCTTGAGCATCTTGTTCACGCATGGCCGCAGCACCTGTGCACTCCTCCATGCAAATGCCCGGCATTTGGTGGCACTGCTCATATCCAGCCCGACATTGCGTCTGCTCCAGCGTGGTGTTCGGCGGCGTGAGCCTTGGTGTTGTTGGATGGAGAAACCATCGACGTGCCTGGAGAAATCACCAAAGAGAAATGGTTCCACTAGGAGAGCAAAGGTAGTAGACTGATGTAAGATGTAATTAGATGGTTTGAGAAACTGCCGCTTTGAACGTTGGAAGTTTCCAGGTCGAAGAATGACTAGTGACACAGATTAAACCAAAAAACACCCATGGGTCTGTGTATCCTATCTTGTCCTACTATCCGAAACAAAATGGTAAATGCACTGACAGCCAGACAGCAAGTGTTTTTTCTTAAAGCGAGGGTCTCCTCTTGGTGAACCCGCCTTGCCATCATGAAAGTAAAGATTTCTCTCTGCTTTCGGGATGAATCCCAGGTAACATGCATCACCCACCCAAGGTTATGCCAAACACCTCCCCCCCATGTTCCACGTTCTGCCTGGGCCGCGCATGACACGCCGAGCCGTCTCGCTGCTCGTAGGGCCTATAGAAGGGGTGAGGAAGGAGAGCGAAGCTGGAGATCAAGTCTTGTCTGTTGGGAAAGTGAGGGAAATTTGATGGAAAGGCCAAAAAGGAAGTAATATAACATTAAGTCTTCCGTTCGCCTGCTTGTATGGCTACCCGTAAAGTCGCCCAAACATCACTGAGTGACCTCTCCAAGAGCAGAGAAGCCGGGGGATCCCTTCAATCTCTCCAAAGGTGATATTAGTTACTAATTGATCTCATCTGAAGGATTGCAAGTCCATTGGACATCTATAGGGTGTGACATAACAACATGGTGGCCAATTGACCCTCTACGTTCCTGCAGCTTCACCGCCGTACTTACAGCTTCACCATACCCTCCCAGGTTTGGTCCACCGAAGCTCGGTGCCGTACCTGCCCTCTCCCGGCACCTCTGAACTGACGCCCAGGGGCGTGTTGCAGGCCGCCAGGCGCCGAAGCTCGGTGATTTGGAAGCCCAAGGTCAGGGTGTCCAGCGCTTCCTGATGCACTCGCCTCAGGGGCCGGTAGAGGTGGAGGGAAGTGAAGCGCGATCTAAAGACCATCTGTTCGATGCTGTAGGCGAGCCGAAGTATCTGGCAGCTGGGTCGCTCAGACGAGCCGGCCCTCTATTCTGCCCTTAGGGATGCTCTAACCATAACATGCCATAGCCAGGGATGTTCAAGGGGGGCCCATGTTGTTTTGAAAGGTTTCCGGTGTCTAATTTGTGGTCTTCCTTCCAAGTAATTAAGTACCTCAAATGAGGCTCATTATGCTTTGAACGAATTGAACATGCCTTCCACACCTGGCAAAGTGACAACCTTGCATCCTACCCCTTCCTCTCAATGACCTCAACAGTGATCTGTTGATTGAGAAGGACCACCGCCGCTGATCCAACCAGTCCGACCGCACACTGCCCAGGCCACACGGAGCTCGCTGTGCTTTGGCCAAGGAACACTTCGTCCAATTGGGCGGTGTACATCGCCAGGTCGTAGTAGGGTCGCCCAGAGCTCAAGACTTCAGGGAAACCTGGGGCTCCAAGCAACCAAGGTGCAAACATACGAATATGATATGATACAATAATATACAATAGAATGGAGGTGAGCGAGAAAGCACACATTTGGTGCCCAAAAATATCCAGCCAGGAGATTCTTGGAGGCAGCCGAGTTTCAGAAGAAGTTTAGCGAAAATACATTTACTGTGTATATATATATATTAATATATCTATATATATATATATTCTTTTGAGGGTGGAGTCTCTTTGGACTGGTGAAACACTGATGTAACTTTTGATGCCAACATCTGGTTACCTGGTTAGCCGGCGTTGAACGCCCTTTGGTTTGCTCCACCTATCTCCACCTCGGAACTGAGCTGACTTTTGAATATGCTCTGCACAGTTCCCCATGTGACGAATCATGCCTGATCAATTGCAAGCTCCCCTCTCCCTTCGACCTGACGCAGAAGCAAGCGGCGTTTCATGTTCACCGGCCCTACATGGAAGACGTCCCGATGCTCAGGGATGATGTAGGGCGCTTCCAAAATGTCCATGGCGGCCACACTGCGATAGCCCGAGGAAATGAAGGTGCCGTCCTGGTGGGTTGAAAAAGTCCCACGCAAAAGCAACAAGTGGGGTGATACTCCAATGTCCAGGAAAAAACCCTCAAGCTCTGCGAAACCCATCACCTGTAAGACCCCAACCAGAGGAACAAACCCAGGTGCTTTTCAACTCACTTCCCTGCGTCCCAATGTTTGATCCTTAGCCATCCATGCCCGCATGCCACCCGAAGTGAAGAAATGAACACCACCTAAACCACCATTCACCAAACAGCCCACTAACTCTGAAATTGATCGCTGGATGGATCACACGAAAGACTCGCTTTGCAGTGGACCACCACTACTAAACCTCCACGGTTTTTCTCGACTCGCTTGGCAGTTCCAAGGCTCCACGTAGAAGAAGATGTTGTGCCGGAAGGCCACATTCTGCGTCACGGTGACCGCTACATGCCGCCAGGGCTCACGGGCGTTGTCCCAGGAGAAGGAGCTGGAGGAGATGGTGCTGTCCTGACTGCTCAAGCGGGTGCTGAGAATTTGAGTTGACCAACACCTTACTCAGAGACTTGCTGGTACAAGAATAGAATCCATAGAATGCTTTAAGACTGTGTCCCCTTTCATCTGTCCTTTCCAGGAGTCATTCCAATACTTGGAGGGTCGTCGAGGGGGATGCAAACCCCAACAACATAAGGATATGCGAGCAACCGACGATGACCAATATCTGTGGATGAGATTTCCAGACTCGAAAACCTCTTCGGTAATGAATTCTATCCATAGATGGTATGACATGGTCCAAGGTGCATGGCATAATAAAGGGCGATCTGACTGAAAAGAAAACCTGAAGTGAACGGATTGAAAAGAATCCTTCTTCCAACATGCTCGCCAAGACCTTTCGCAATGGTGCTGATGGTACGGAGGAAACTTCTAGGGTGCACAGGATGATGCCACCGCAACTACTTAGTTTCCTCGAGACACCTATATCAACCTGAGGTTGCAGTTTTCAGTGTTTGCCCCGAAGCAAAGATTCCTTGCCTCTGCGCTGATGTGAGAGGCCAAGGTCAGTCGACTGTGGTAGAAGACCAGCCTCAGCTCAAAGAGCAGGATCCAGTGGTGGAAGGTCCATTGGATCCTAGAACAAACAGAGGAACCCATGATTCGAGGAAAGTCAAGGCCAGACTACCAGCATACTCAATATGTTAAGCGGTAAAGGTGTGGAATGATGTCCTTTGATGCCCTTTCGTGATTCCCCGGAGGCTCCTAACATCTCCTAACCATATTATCGATACGTGCCAACAGCAATTTGGGCTGGGCTTTCTTCGTCAGGACATTTCGGACCGATCACGTGGCATGTCCCAAGAACCTTTCCGTCCCGCACGGATTGACTAGTTCAGCCTGGAACTTGGTTTTCTGAAGCTCTGACGAAAGCTTTTAAACATATAACAGCTAGAGCGTCTCATATTCCCAGGGCCATACTATGTCTCTACTTCCTTACGTCAACGAGATAGTACGGTGTTTTTGTCCCCTGCAAGGACAACAACCAAGGAGCTGCGCTTGTCCTGCACTAACGCGCCGGAGAGCCAAGTACCTGTCAAGAACAACTACTCACTTGGGCACTGACGTGTCAAGGTTTTACAGCAAATGATGCTTCACAGCAAAGCGAAGGTGAAACAAGCAAACAGTGAGTGCACCACCTTTCATGTGTGCTTGGCCATCTAATAAATACTGCCGTGTCCTTGCAAAGTGGTTGCCGACTTCTTGTCACAAGAGAGTGGCCGCGATTGGGCACCAGGAGGGAAAGCTGCCAAACAGAACAGCCATGCTGCTGACACTGGATTCTCCTGGCAGGACAGTGGACTTCACCCAAATAATCGAAAGCCTTTACGATGTGGAGTGTAGACAGACTGCGCAGACTAATTCACGCTCTGAGGATTTGCTCCCACAAGTTCAAGCGATTTCCAGATATCAATCCCAACTTTGCTCAAACTAAAAGCAATCCCAGCCTGTTGGAATTGCATCCAAGGTCATGTTCACAAAGGCTTCCACTGTGAATGGTGGGGCCAGCGCTGCAACCGCAAAGCCTTGAACGGCCAGCCATAGGTCGTTCTTCCAAACAAATCAAAGGCCCAATCACATGGGTCTTTATCGATGTTCAAGGGGATCCTTCTCAACCTCCAACGGAGCCATGGTTTCGTTCCCTCATCTACCAATGGCCTTCTTGACAAAGCTTCTTGAGGAAATAATGATCGTAGTGAATTCCACCAGTAATAGATGACACCCGAACCCTTTCCACCCGGCTTCCATGGTCTTCAGAGTTTTTTTCACGTAGCGTCGTCAACAAAGTGTCATTGGTTTCATGCCATTGACATGGTGGTTGATCCAAATTCGTTCTTGCTGAAAGGCCATTCTTCACCAAACAAAATTGTTTTCGCATGTCTTTTGTGAACTCCATGTTTAACTTTCGCGGGGTGTATATCCTCTATAGGAATCTTCTTGGCTTAGTGGTTCTACATGGCAGCCTAAGCACGTCGATCTGTTTGCGTTGTTTGTTTTAGACGAGCACGCGATCAACTCTGGTTACCCTCATGTCTTGCTAGGCCTTTTGCTGCTTGGCTTGGGCAGGGCTCCACAAAACAGGCCTTCACATTCGCCCATGCTTTCGCGGAACTTTCGCGAATCTTTCACCAAAAAAACGTCGCGTCATTGGTGGGTGTCTAGGCCCAAAGCGAAACAACAAAAGAACTCAAAAGAGTTACTATACAGCCTAGGGATTGTGCATCACAAGTGTGAGCTATATAACTATAATATCATGTGCAATGTAAAGGCTTGTGAATGTGCCACTGATGACTGACTGTGCCTAGGAGCCATGGCCAAGCCAGCTTGAAGCCTAAAGACTGCATTAAAAGTCAGGAATCAAACCTCCTCCTGAGTGAAGACAGTATGAAGTTAATATAGTTCTGACATAGAGTATAATAGGATCTTTCGCAGATCTTTCGCGAAAAACACAGATTACTTTGTGACTACCACATCCATTGGCATTGTTGTCACACCATGGTCGTCGTTTTCTAAGCATTGTCACAGTTATCACAATACTGTCATCGTCACACGTCGTCATCAAAGAGTTGTGATTGAAATTGGGGTGGGTGAAGGGTGATGGGCGGGAGTTGTGCATACCATCATTCTTGCTGTCGTGCTATCTTCGCGCCTATCACTTGTCACCTCATCGTGTCACGATGGTGTTGTCGCTTCTTCATTATGAACGTTGGATAGCTTGCATCGCATCCTATGCTGCACCGCCGTCATCCAGCTGGACCCGACCCAACGAACCCAGCTGCACCACGCACCACGTCGTGTTCCCCCAGCCGGGGCGCTCTGCGCCGGTGGCTTGGCCGCCACGAAGGCCAAGGTGATCTCGCAGCCGTCGGCCGCGCCGCGGCCCGTGGTGGTGAAGTTGGCCACGGAGCTAAACTGCGAGGCCTCCAGAAACGGCACAGCCGGTGGACACGAAGGGGTTTTGGTTGGATATCAACATGGGGTGTATGAGGCAACACTTGGGGGGAACGAATGAACTGGGTATAACTGGGATGTTCCATATTGTTTGGGATGTTGGCGGTTGAGGTTGCGGTCATTTTTCAGAATCGAGCAGAATGCATGGCTCTTACCAAACAAAGCTAGTATACTAGATCTGATTGAAGCTACTACGATCAGGGCAGAAGCCTCTCTGGTCTGCCCCCCTGCTACGGTCCTATTCATGATGCCCAAACTCCCGCTGTCTGAAGGGCAAACGTCCAAACTTTTTTAAAGCCCACAAGAGGCCTACAATGGCACGTTGAGACCATAATGGCTTCAATCTTGGGGTTAAGCAGCTGCTCACTGTGGATGGATACAAGGACAAAAGGAAATGCTGCACGGCCAATGTCAATAATGATAGCCAATAGCAGCTAGCAGCCCAACAGCCACTCTATCCAACTCACATGCAGGGTGGAGCCAGGCAGCCAAACACTCTTGTCGTGCTAAAATGTGCTAAACACACCAACAAAGCAAAAGCCACGGCTCGGGGATGACATCAATGAAAAAGTAATTAGAAACTCATACAATGAGCTTCACTGCTTCCAAGCAGCTGAAATGCCGGTGGGAAGGTCGCAGGCGTGCCAAGTATTATTGCCTCGAAGAATTGCTCGAATGAACCTTCGCACTAAATCTATGCAGACTCTCTTCATTCCAAGATATTCCAATTATCTTATTCCAAAACGTCCAAGCTCCAAACTATGGTGAACATTCCCAACTTAACTGTGGCAAGCAACTGCCTCTTCAGCCCACCACCTCACTCACCGGACCGCCGGTCACCACCGTTCACCACCGGTTAGCCACTGGTCACCACTGGTCACCTTCGACCTGTTCGACCACTGGTCTCCATCTGAGCTTCCACACAGACCGGTGACCAGTAGCCCACTTCACTCTGGCACGATCGACCCACAGGACGGTCATCTGCCTGGAACGAACGAGGCAAACAAGGAGCCGACTTCTGGACGACGGAGCGAAGCGCGTTTGGTTTTTTCTTTGGCCCCAGGTTTTTGGGTGTCATCTGTTTGGAAAAGGCGGTCATGTATGTAGATGAGTGTAGTATAGGTTGCACGATGTGACGCCCTTATGCAATACCACTTGCAACATCTTCCCACGACACAAGAGAGACTGAAACACAAGGCATACGTAACAGGCATGGTGGGCTGTCGGAATGTTGGCATTTCACGGACCAAGACTCTTCCATTCAAACACGACGGAGCTTGCAGCGTCACCCGTTTGACATGAACACAACCACTTTCACGCAAAAAGTACAAGCATCTGCCTCCTCACACAGAAATGGACAGCTGCTGTTCGGCCATTGCCAGGCATAAAAGTAGTAGTTGCCGGTGACAAGGTCGCAAGCCTGCATGAAGTGTTCATACATGGTCAAGATACAGGATGGAAACTCAATTGAGCAGTTGTTCAGGGATGTCTTTGCAAAGATGTCTTTGGAACTGTCTTGTTCATGTTGCAAAGTTGTGAGCCTGAAGCAGTCTAGTCAGTCTAGTCTAAAGCTGAGTGGCTGAGTGATGAAAATGCTTAGCTCAAAGCCAGTGGCAGCCAAACCCCCAAGCACATGTTGTAGGGCTTGACCGACACGAACGGTCACTACACGTCAACCCCTCCTGGTGGGTCTCGCCATCTCCCCAGAAGCCCGGGGATGCCATTTCACAAAAGCCGTAGTCACACGAATAGAGCCTGCAGTCTGGCTGACATACATGCAAATCACGACTATTCCTCGATCAAACAGCACAGCGGCAACACCGAAGAAAATGCCGGTTTGAAGATGCTTCTTCCAACCTTTTGAAGTCTGACGTCTGACTCTTTCCTCCAGAAGAGATCAAGTGTCCAAATGGCGGCTGGTAAGAAGAGGCGCCTCTTGCATCCCAGTGGGCAGCTTTCACTGCAGTAAGCGTAACCGCAGGGATTCTCGCCAGCCTGGCGAAGAAGCACGATGCTCCAAGCAGTTGGAAGTGCGTGTGAAACGGTGCCTCTTGGTATGCCCATCCTGGTCCCTAGTACGTTTGACATTCAATGCAACTGTTGCAAAGGGATATTGTTGTGCTGAGTAAGAAAGGCTGCACATGCTTGAACCTCTATGGCTCATGCCAGTCACAATGCAAAATCCTATGGATCCATCGCTGGCACCTTCTGCTTAGAGAATGTTCTGCTTACAGCCAGTCCTGCGTTCGATGAGCAAAGGAGATCTCCAGTTTTTGTGCAGAGCTGCATTGGTTCTCCTGGAATGCGCAGGGAAATCTCTCCCACAATTGGTAGGAGTTTTGGCCCACAACCCGCCACCCAAAACTGGAAATGACCGAGGTCACAAACATTCATTCGATGCTGCAAAGCTGTTCAAACAGGTTTGTACAACAAAGGCCCAGGGAACGGATGTTCTTTCTCTCTTGAGTCGGTCACCAAAGCCACCAAAGCTGCCAAAAAGCCTGGATTGAAATGCTCTCAGTTTGCTTATTTTAACACTGTATGGCAGAAGAAGAGCTTGAAGAGCCTTTACGCCCAGATATATATATATATATATAGAGATTTATGATATCTCTTGGGTCTATCCTAAGACCTGTAACAGTGGATGATGATGGTTAGTAAAGGCCTTGTCTAAAAATAGTAATAATTGTTTACTGACTGTTACTGCTAATAGGACAGACCCAAGAATATCTCTATATATATATATATATAGGATTATATAGGTACAAGTAGAACTGGTACCCAAAAATCAAATTTATCCAACAAAATACCATTGTCAAAGTCGTTGTCAACCACTGTCGGATTGAAACGGAAGGGTTGTAGGATGCGTTCCCACACTTGTGCAAGATGCTATGTGTTGAAAGTGTGACCACTTGATAATATGTTTCGTATCCCTTGTGAAGTTGTCTGCTAACTTCTGACCCGCGGTGTGAGAGGAGCAGACTCCTGAGGCAATGCCTTCGCCGCCCGCAAGGTCATCTCTTGAACTGCCTGAAGCTGAATCACCTGCCAAATCAAGGATGGTTCCCGTCCAAAGAAGCAACCTCAGTTCCTGATACTGGGAGTGTAGTGAAGGACAATTCATCATTCCCTTGATGGTCTCTTGGGATCTCAGTCTCATCTTCAAACACATGACACTTGTATGAACAGTACCGTAACAGCTGCCTGGTCTCCGGCTGTGAAGGTCACTGTGTCGCTGCTGCTTCTGGACACATAGCTGGCGAAGGGGCCGACAAAGGACAGGCCTTAGCATACTCTGATTACATCTGGCCTGAAACGTCGGAGCTTCAAGACCAGTTGATCAAATAAACTGGAAAATCGGAAGTGAATCTGCCCACACTTGGATGTACACCTTTGCCATCATCGGAGAGCGCTAAGCAGTCTGAAGCAATCACGGCCAAGATTCTACTGAAATGCATCAAACAAGCATATATCAAACCTCCAGTAATGTTTTTCGCGAGCGAAAGTAAGCGCAACCCTTGAGTGGAACAGCGGCATTGCCTGAACGCCACATAGCTTGAGATAGCTTGAGGTAGTCGGCGCTTGGGATGCACAGGATGATCCAAGGCACCCTTGCCCACATCCAGGTAGACGTGGCGCTGCTCTCCGCTCGCGGCAAACAGCTCCGTTGGAGAAGTGAAGGGCAGGTCCCCAGTATACGGCCTCGGCGACACTGAATCTGGTGAAGCAGTTCTCAGAAATTTGGTGAAACAGTAGCAAGTGCATTGCTACGTACTAGGAACAAGGGCGTGACAAGGGGTGGTGCGGCAAGCTGAGAGTGTGCAACCGCCACATATCAGAGTTCTTGAGCCGGACGAGTGAAAGTTGTGGGTTTTGCGGGATGGGAAGTGATTTGTGAGAGGTTGAGGCAAAGGCTCAGGGGTCCAAACGCATCCACTTCTGAATGAAAGCATGAACAAAAACGTGAAGCATAGAAGGATGAATGGGCCTTGAAAACCACAAGCCGCAAAAGTGGATGTACCACCAGCTCTTTCACAAATTTCAGTGGATTCAGGATGTAATTCCTATAGGAACAGGACATCTGGAAATACCTATGAACCCAGCACACGCCGAATTTAGTCTAGCCATTTCATCTGGTCACTCGAAGTGTCACCTATGCTTTTCTTCCAGTATAGCCTAGGCCCTATGCATCAGGCTCATTCCGTGGCTGATGCATAGACTCTAAGCCCCCAAGCACCACTGACAGGAGCTCTCGCGCCGTGACGTTGAAGAGTCGCCCTGGGCGCCAACGGCTAGGAGGAGTCCAAAGAGGGACAGGGGACAGACAGGAAGGTCCGTCCCCCGCGTGTTTTGATGTGTTTTCCGCCGTTTGGAGCCATGTTTTCACTCTATGTTCGCAAACGGCTTGTGCTTTTGGGGTGGCTTCTGGCACTGGCTCAAGGCAAGGGACCAGTCTCACAGCGACACCAAGAGGGACGCCCGGCCAAACCACGCAAACGAACGTCTGGTCAAGCTACATCGTTCCTGGATCCAGCTCTTTAGCATCCAGACTATTGAAGGAGGTTTGGGGATGGGTCGTCTGATTGCCTGCAGTTTATAGACCAAATCCTGGTGTGACACATGAGTTCTGAATCAGCAGTTCTGGATAAATTTGGATGCGGCCAGACACTAGGCGCGCCGTCGTGGATCCCTTCCTATGAACCATCCACTACTGGTGGATGGGACACCCATTTTTGGCTTTGGCATCCCGAAGATCCATCCAAGTGCCCCGACCACAGAAGTCCAAGGAAAGCAGTGGCACTGATGCCACCACTAAGAGAGAGGAGGCCTTGAGAGGGCAAAGCATGCAAGTCATCATCATGGCATCATGGTGCATGGGTTTGGTGACTTTGGTGAGTAACTTTTAAGGTCTTTGAAGGAGGAATATTGCAGTTACTGCCAGAGAGATGCCTGGAAGCATTCTTTTCAGGTGAAGAGAATGTGCCTTGAAGGAAGGTGGAACAAACCATGTCTGGTGTCCGAATGCCGAACATCTTTGTCTGCACCTCTCTGAACTTCATTGTGGTCACCGTCATCATCGCGCCTGCGGCAAGCGATCCTCGGCATCCTCGCGCAAAAAGCCGAGGTGTTCAGAAGCTGAAAAATGTTTGCTTTCGAACAGAATGATATATGTTGTTCTTCATGAATTATTCCAAACACTCCTGCAAACCTTTTTTGAGAGGTATGTGCCAGGTAATGCCAGGTATGTCTTACAGAGAGGAGGCACCCCACCAACACCTGCTTCCAAAACAACCAAGCATTTCAACCGGCCAAACGGCCGTTCTCCACTCCTCATAATCAGGCCACGGTCACGGTCCTCCACCCTCCACCCGTCCTCCACCCGCTCGGCAAGGCAACGCCGCAAGGGCATGCTGGCGTCCTGCCCACTGGGCGCCGGCAAGGCCGCTTTGAGCTTCACCAAAACGCCTCAGGCGTTTGAAGCGGGAGATGTCGGGATGCGTTGGGAGATGTGGGGAGGTGGGGTCAGAATCTTGATATGTTGCCTAGACACGTCAGAGCGTATGCTTAAAAAAGCGTCTTTTTGAGATCTGTCCTGTTCCTTCACGGGATGGTTGGAGAGGTCGATTATTTCTTCCACAGCTTTTCCTTGCAGCCTTGCACCAACCTATGAGAGGTCGATTGTTTCTTCCAGGGCGCCATTGACGGCATCCTGGACGATGTCCACAGCGGAGACGGTCGCTGTGAGCGGGGAGAACTTCATGTTGCAATTGAACTCTGACCTGGGATGCTTTGGACAGCTGGAAGTGGAATAGGGAAAATAATGGAAATTTTCAGAATATCAGAATACGATAGAACACATATCATGAGGGAATGGGACTTCGACAGCTAAGAAGGGGCACTGACGGCATGAATTTGGTGTTGGTTTGCTGTTGGTTGGGAATCCTCCAACCCAGGCTTGAAGAACAGGTTTGACGTCCATTGAATTCATCCATGATTGGAAACACCGGCGAACCGTTCTTCACGTGCCAGCCTCCTGAAACATGGCCATGCATGCTTATCCTAGCAACATCTGTGACGTGGCTTCTGAAGAACCATGGAATTTGGTGATACACTGGGCATCATGACCCTTGCATCACGAATCTTCGCGGAAAGTGTCACTTTTCCCAACAACAAGCAAGGGGCTTTAGATTCGATATGCTTATATTAGATCTCTATATTTGGCCTGAACTTCAGAGAACCTCAAACCACTCAACCAGCCCAAGGTGTGTAAAGCGTTTGCTCTGACGTGTCTGTGTCTCCTCTTACCGCGGGTCCAAATGGGTCCAAAACTTCTTGTCAAGCAACAAGGCAGCAAAGGCAGCCACCTGTTTGTGCCGTGGCCACGCGTGGGGAAGAATCAACCGCCAATATACATCCTTGATCATCCTCCGGCAAGCTAACATTGCACATCGTAGTGTCATAGCACCTGCTAAAGCCTGCACCTTCACGGTGATAGAACACTTTACTTCGTTTGTTTGCCAATTTTTATCAACCATTTCAGCCACCTCAGCATGACAGCATGAACCTCAGCCCCCCCCGTGTCCCATCGACTAAGGCACCTCTAGCGCCAGTGAAGCACCACTGAGCAAGGCCTCCAGTGCACGACGCAGGTAGTCGAAGGCACTCAGTTGCATCACATTGCCTCGACAATCACCGCGGGCCATCGAGGACGTTGGAAGGAGTGAGGCAAACAAGGGCCGGCGACAATTGGGATTGGGGAAGCAAGGACTGTTCTGCAAGAGCTTCAAGGTTCGTTCTAACTTCAGACTGTGTAGGGATCCTTTTTTCCCTGGATGAGGACAAAATGGATACACATGGACTTTCACCTCAAGCCATGTCAAGGTTTCTTCTCTTAGACAGCGCCAGCGCCAGGTGTACCCAAGAGTTCTTCCAGCGTTCAAGCTGCTACGCAATCAGTTCTGCCATGTGCCACACTGAGCCGAAGGGAGCTGGACCCTGAAAGCCCCTTCGCGCAGGTCCACCCCCCCCTCCTCGCGCGCGGGTCTAGCCCTTGCTCATACGAAGGTTTTCCTCGCAGAAAACCCCCAGGGCCCCAGGGGGCGGCGGAGTATAGGGGGAGATGCCATGAGTTGTCGTGCTTTCTCTGAGGACCCTGGCCAACATCCATCAAAGAGATCACCCCATCCTGCGAAGTGGCATTCCACAGCTCAAGATCCATGCTTGGTGGCGTGGGGTCTGGGTCTGGGTCACTGAGCTTGGGCTTCAACGATCCAAACGGCGACTGGAGGGTTCTACAAGAAACATCGGGTATGAATACCCATCACGATGCGGCTAACATTCCAGGAGTGAAAGTATTCGAGAAATGCAGCTTCCATCAGCTTCTGTTCAACCTGGCTTGACCTGCGTCTATTGGCCCATCGCACTACAGTTTCTGCCCGTTTATGCATGTCTGTGTCTTTTTGAGGAGCAGCTGAGTAGAGAACGCAAACTGGCGCAAACAAGATCGTTGTTCTGAAGATCGTTGTTCTGACCTGATATGCCAGAATCAAACCCAAGTACCCACCTCACTCCGTAAATGTCAGTCCTGAGAATCAAGTTCTTGTGCAAGATCCTGGCATTTGGGCTGCATACAGGCTGCAAGGAGTCAAAATCCGATCATTAGCATCAACAACAAAACATTTACCAGTGGGTAAGACTGTAAATCCTCAACTAATTAATGCCTATCTCCACAAGGTTCTCTCTCTCTCTCTACAGGGCCACAGAATCAGCCAGGATGGCTCAAGCCTCTGATCTAAAGAACGTTGGCAGAAGAAAACAAATTGCCTGGCTAAGCTACTACTTGCTCACCTTCATGCTGCAAGTCGACGTGTGAAAACACAGCCCTCTCCTGCGCAGGGCCGGAGAGCCAGCCACTGCCACAATTGGCCGCCAGAATGGGCGCAGAGGTCAAGAGATTGGAGAGATCCGTGGCCAAGGCCCTCACCGGAAGAGCTGTTTGAATGTGAAAGAAGAGGGTCGATTTGGCTTGGAGGTGAAGGGGCTCAAACCGGATGGAATGAGATATTCTTGGTGGTTAAGTCTCTGAACTGAACATTCCATGCTGAGAACTTGCTGTTGGAAGTCCAACTTCTAAAGGCAAAAAGCAAGGCAAAAAGAGAGGGGGAGTTTTTGAAGGAGCTCATCTCCATCGAAATCGAGGAATTGCTGCAAGGCTAGTAAACCGAATCAATAGGATCGATGGGATCAAAACATAGCTGTAGAATTCTGTAGACGCGCGGACTCTGTGAAAGCTGAGAGACCCAAACCACTCTGACATTATTCCCCATCACTTCCCTTTTCGCAGTCAAGGCACAAAAGAGATGCTGGCAGCGCCGCTGCCCCTGAAGGAAAGATTTAAAGACAAAAAAACTGACACCATGGGTGCGAGTGTCTGAATTGTCCCGTTCTAGAGACTGTACCAAACAATGGCCCCTACTGTTCTTGGCCGCTTATAGGAGCAAGGACGCTACTAGGGGCTCCTGGCATCGCTACTAGGAGCAAGGACGCACTATGAGAATTCCAGCAAATCCCATGCGCTCTGATCTTTTGAGACAAACGCCGTGGAACAAAGTAGAAACCTCGTGGCATGCTCTTCACAAGCCTTCATGGCTATATAGTTGTGCCCGTTGCATTCACAAAGTTGTCGCACATTCACGGCTCCACAATCGTTCGCTACCCATTGGTGTTGGGCCTCCCTATAAAATTACACACCCAAATGGTGTATGGCTCAAAAATAGGATACCATATGATACCATCACATCCAGACCTATCCAAACCCACTCTTGAACTTTTGAGGAATCAACTGGAGCCATCTTCATCCAGCAACACCAAAACCTCCTGGCATCTCAGGAGTTGTGGCGGGTGGAGGTGTACTACTTCAAAGACTCTTGGTAGTACCTACTTCTATCTAGTTGGTGTATGACTCACACTAAGATATAACTACCTATCCATTTGTTTCCCTCTTTTGGAGCGCATCGGTTTAAGAAATTGTTCAAGGCACCCTCTAACAAAGGAAGACATGTGAAGAAATGATCCCATCCCATCCCATCCCAAACATCATACCCAAACCCCCCAAAAAAATCACGTGGCCTTTTCCTCCAAAGGGAACCACATTCCAATCTCCCCCACCTCCTTGTGGCGCCAGTGCTGTGCTCGGCTGCACCAAGTGGGTCAAGCTGCTCACCCGGTCCTCGTCCACGCGGAGACGGTCCACGGCGGTAGTGGTGAGACGGGTGGTGAGACAGGGTGACCTTTGCAGCGACTAGTAGTAACAAGAAGCTACTAGGAACAAGTGCATCGCTAGTAGTAACAAGTGCCTTACTAGTAGTAACAAGAAGCTACTAGGAACAAGTGCATCGCTAGTAGTAACAAGTGCCTTACTAGTAGTAACAAGAAGCTACTAGGGACAAGTGCATCGCTAGTAGTAACAAGTGCCTTACTAGTAGTAACAAGAAGCTACTAGGAACAAGTGCATCGCTAGTAGTAACAAGTGCCTTACTAGTAGTAACAAGAAGCTACTAGGAACAAGTGCATCGCTAGTAGTAACAAGTGCCTTACTAGTAGTAACAAGAAGCTACTAGGAACAAGTGCATCGCTAGTAGTAACAAGTGCCTTACCAGTAGTAACAAGAAGCTACTAGGAACAAGTGCATCGCTAGTAGTAACAATAAGAATTTAATTAGAATTGTACAACTTCCTTCTGATCTCTTGTTCAATTCGACCTATTGTAGGTCACCATCTATCACTAGCAACTTCCTTCAATACATATTATCAAATATTTTGCTCTTCTCGGTAACTTTGGAAAAATATCAGAGAGCAAAATACATATGATTTATGATCACTCGCATGTTGAACAGAAAACGCGGGCAATTTCCAGGGGTGCAACATGTCCTTTCAAAAAAAGAAGGCGTCTCAACCCATACCACCGCGTGCTGCTTCACCTCGCGGCGCTTGGGTCTCTCCGCGCCGCTCTCTGCGCAGGTCACAAAGATGCGTTCCCACGGCTGGGAGTTTGGACGGCGGGACTGACCTGGTGACCTGTGGGTGCCCTTCATTTGATAATTGTCCACAAAAAAATAAACGAGAACGCACATGAACACACCCCTACGATCCCCTAAGAGTCATCTGACTGACTAATGAGTATACGAAGTGATGGGAACACAGCAGGTTCCCCAAACCACAGCCACCTTTTGCACTGTGAACAGCTCCTGCAAGATACTTCGCATCCCGCTGAGGGCCAAGTCTGCAAAGCCTCTCACGAGGCAAGGCCGAAATGCATGACAACATATATGAATATATGAATATATATGACAACCACCATGGAGATGGCTGCCATTTGACATCGTTCCGCGTAGAGGGGTTTAAACACAGAAGTCATCTAAGGGCAAAATTGCAAAAACATGGCAAAAGCCGCAGTTCTCACAATCAACTTCGCAGGGCCTAAAGAAACCTAACAGTGCTAGAAAAAAAAAAACGGTGCCCCCTCTTTTGTTCTTCATCTAAGTTCGTTGCTTTGAACATCCAAGAAAGGACTTCGGAAATGACTGCGTCTTCCCGTCTTCCTGAAGCCGACGCATCTCTTTTTGGCCCAGCTGAACGACGCCGACATCGAGATGAAGGATGCAGAGCGGCTTCCCACCGGAGGGCGGAACAAGCGTGGAACATGGAACAACGCCAACAGCTGCCCCTTCGCCGTGCAAAGGCCAAGGAACATGGTCAAGGTCGCAAAGAAATGGAACATCGAATCACATCAATCTGTGCCATGAGGTCTGTGAATTCCCTAACCAGTTGTTTGGTGTATTGTTTCACGAAGCAACAACATACTCATTAGCATAGACTAAGTAGACAGACTGAGCCTTGAAGAGGTGCCCAAGCACCGAAGGCTTCTGTCCCGTTCTCGTTTCAAAATTAGGACCCGACCGGTATGACACCCAGAGACACACGCAGCAAAGTGTCACAAATTCAATTGGGCAATTCGAACCCTGGAATCGCCGACAGGGTCAGCAATCAATCCTGTAGGCCCTCCTGGAGAGCGAGACGGAGACATAAAATGAATATCTCATAGACTCATAAGAGGTGTGGCTGCTACCTTCATGCTAAACATCCACTATATAATGACTATATATATATACCTTCATAGTTCCAAAAGCGACGTATCATATATACTCGCCTTGAACACGCCCTGAACTTGTGCTTCGTTGATTCGTACATTTTGCGTATTGGGAGATATCACACTCTGAAATAATTCATGTACAGTACATGTCCTGTGTACATTGACCCTTGCATACCCACCGTAGGAGAAGGGTGCGTAGTGGTTGGAGCGGTGGGCAAAATCGAGAACCCCACACCATGGTAGACATCCCCGGTAGTCCGATCTGTTCATGCAGTCAACCAGTGTCATGGCTTATTGTCATCTTGGGCCAAATTCCACACCACAAAGACGACCAATCCCTTGTGGATCCTTGGTGTTTGAAGGACATGTTTCGGGAGGGTTCTCTGTTCAAGTACAGGATGTCCTGGCTCACAGAAAGAAAACAGAAACAAAACGGGGGATCCAATTCATGTGGACAACGAACTCCTGGCCTAAAAAGGAAATCGAAGGAATGCTGCGGAAGCAGCGTTCCGACCACCCACGA